ATTACGGAAACAGTTGCTATAACAAATCTTCTCTGCTTTACTGTTATGTTGTTCCGATTTCGTGTGTATTTCGGAAACGCTGGCTTGGTAGTGAACGCGTTAACAAGTATGTTTCCCATGAACAATTCGAAGCTTGCAAATTTGTCTAAAAATTGTATCAATTTTAAGAAACAGACGACGAATAGAAGCGACGCGTTCCTTCTTTCGTTATTTATAGTTATATTCATTTTATATTTTAACTACGTATTTAGCTTTATATCTATTTAATAATCTCAACTAGTAAGAAATGGTATGTTGATATTCACAATGTTATTTAATCTTTTCACAATGTGAAATTTCACTCACTCGTTTTTTGTCATAAATGCATTAAATCCGCAGTCTAGGCGTGTTATTCGAGGATTGTCTATAATTTCGTGTGATTTCCATATAATTGTATGTAATTTCTATATAATTTTATATAATTTCTGTATAATTATTATATAATTTCTGTATAATTATTATATAATTTCTATATATAATTTCCATATAATTTCTAGATACACAGTTCCCACTGTGTGTTAATTTACAGGAGCAACGTTGTCCTCCTTCCATAATTCATTTTCGCTACCGGTACCTTGTTCTTGATTATCAAACCAGCAAAAGAAACCGATCCAATATCCGAAGTAAAATAGACAAATAATAATAAGCACACAGATCGAGATCACAGAATCCGTCGATCCAAACGGTGTGCAAGGGGAACGTCACGTTTTCAATTGGCTCGCATCACATTAGCGGCAATCAGCGTGCAAAATATTTCGACGGGATCACGAGGCACCGACAGAGGGTTAAATAAAATCAATATAGGTTCGAGAGCTTTGATCGATAGCGTAGATGTTTCCCGGTCTAGCCAACGCGACCCGTTACTACTTAAAGCGCCGTTGCGTCCCGATCGAATTTTCAGCAATTAATCTCGCGCGCATAAGAAAGTGCAACGGTGCATTTTCCAATGCGGTTCCGCGCACCGTTCAAAGTATGCGATCCGATGATAGACTTTTCTGCGGCGTTCTAATGCCTGAACACGGTCGCCGCCCACGGCCGAGCCGGGTGTAGAAAAAGGCAGAGAGAAACCGAGAGAGAGAGAGAGAGAGAGAGAGAGAGAGAGGAGAGGCCCCGGATTTTTTCGGCCGCGCAGAAGGCCGGCCGGAGAGATTCGACATCGCAGATACAGTGGAACACTTCATAAATCATTCGCGTGAACGTGTAGCCCCGCGTGCATCCGACCTGCATAACAGCCGTTGAACTTGCGAATGCTCGGAGCCGGACGTATCTGACCATGCGTGACCAGGAACGTGGTCGATCGGCGGACGCGGTAGAAAGTGTGTACGATACAATGTTTCACCCGCTCGAAAGTTACCGGTGGACGACGACGGGGCTCGATTAGCCGATTAAAACCGATCCCGGGGCTGCTGCCGCTGCCGGTTCGTCGCTCTTCCGGCCGGCTGGACCGCCGAGTATCCACCGAATATCAAACCGAAACCGCCATCCACTTCGTCTTCGCGCGATCCATTATAAATGAATCGAAAACCGCGCGATCGTTGCCTCGAGTGCTCCAGTTCCGCGATCGTACTCGAGCTTCCGTCGTCGATTCGATGCGCGGATTATTGAAATTAACCTCCGTGGTCCCAGAGATATTTGCTGCGTCCACCAATTTTGCTCCTATCGTGCTGCGAGATGATTGACAGCTTGAGAATTTTAGCAGAGAGAGCGGAGTTCGGCGTTTTTAGTATTGTTTCGAACAAGTGTTTATCCATGATCATTATCCGAATGAATTCGTGTTTTAATCGAATATCTTTTCGTCATAAATTATTCTCTATTTATTTGCTCGAATAAACTGTTCGTATAATTATCTGTTCGATTAAATTATTCTATTTATTCGAATAGATTATTCCGCTTGTTCGAATCAATTATTCGGATAATTCTTTATTTAAGTTCTTCGAACAGAGATTGTCAAATTATTTCAATAATAATGCGAATAATTGTTGACTGGTTTCGTTTTCATATTCGATTTATTAGAATCGATTTATACGGTGCATTCTGGATCGGTTCAATTTCAAACTGCTTATACAGGCTGTCCCATAATTACGTTAACATCAGGAAAGTGGTGATTCCTGAAGTCACTTGAGGTATGATATTCAACTGATATACTCAAATGACCTCAGGAATCATCCCTTTCCCGGTGTTAACGTAATTATGGAACGCCCTGTAGAATCATAAAATTGCCGATCGCTTTCCCTGCGCCCGTCGAAAGATTTCACGTCAGTCATAATCGTTAATTTCAGATTAATTAAAATTACCTATACATTCGGATTATACATAATCAGATTAGAGTCAGATTATACTATTCGCCCAACTCGGGTTCCGAACGCGCGGATCGTTTCAGGGCTGAAAAATCAAAGAATTTTAGACAAGGGTAGCGAAGAAGAACGTCGTAGCCGTGGTATGCCGATTCGATGTAATGCAATACCGTTGCAAGTAATGCGATTTGATTACGTTAATGCGGTCGCTGATACGCGCGTGCGACGATTGCGTTCGGGAACACGCGATACCATTCCAGCGTTGATAATCTGAGAATTCTAGACAAGGGTAGAAGAGGCTTGTTTCTAACGTGGTGGTTGCAGAATGGCGTTTGGACTATTCGGAGCATCGCCGAGGAAAGCCTAATTTACGGCACCCTCGAGTGCCTATCCCTTTCCCTCGTCGTGTCCTGTGGCGACGAAAGTTGAACGACCGATCGGAACACGTTCGAAGGATCGCGATATCTTGGTCCCATGGGGATTTCGAGAGAAACACCGGGGAGGATTACCGCGTCGCTTCAGTCCGGTCATCCTTGGGACTACGTATTTTAAAATAGGCGGTATCGACCGGATCGTCGTCTGGATCCACTCTCAGTCAACGATATTCTAAACGTTGTTCCGAGATGTTGATAATTTTTCAATCGGGAAGGTTTCTAACACTTAGCCAACCGAACGGGGAGATCTCCCCGTTTTAAATTCAGTCGGTTGACGACGTAACGGATGATTAATGAAAAGTTAAAAATGATTGCTTCATTTGATTAAGATTTGCAAGAGGTATGAATGCTGAAGAAGTAATCGGTGCCATGTAAGTTTGCCTCATAATTTTTGTTTAATCGAATGAAATATTTTAATTTTACGAAAATTTGTTAGGCTTCTAGCGCGGTCGTGGAAGTGTTAACACTAAACCTACCACGACGGTCGTTTCGACCGGTTTCACATCATTTTTATTTTAAGATCGTTGACGTTATCAAGACTCTTTTGTAGGAGATGATCGAATCGATTTGCAAATTCAAAAGAGAAAAATTTCTAAGAAAATTGATGAACCATCTCTAAGATACATTCAATGTTGCCATTCTTATAAAACGACACACGTCGGTCATTTCTAGTGCTCGGTGGGTTTTGTGTTCAGGCCGGATTCCTCGTATCTTTCAGCTGTTAGGAAGATGTTTGGACGTTTATGAAGGCATAGTTCGATGACACTGCAGCTTATCGAAGAGATGTTGGCAGTCGTAGATCGCTTGGTGAGCAACGTAGAATTTTCATTGTTGCCTCTGCAAGGCTATTTAGATTCTTGTTCAAGAATATTTCTAAGCCGCGGCAGTCTTGCTATTAATCTCCGGAAGGTTGACGTTTCTAATGATGACAGTGTTGCATGAGAAGCTCGGCTCCATTAAGATCTTAACCTGTGGCAGTGGTGCTATTGATCTTTGTAGAAGGCTGACGTCCCTAATGACAGTGTTATATGTATCTCCGGAATGGAAAAGGTACAATATAATTTCTGGACATGTTGCTACTCCTACTGTAACCGGTCAGACGGAAGCTGTGTTAAATGAGTAAGAGTCTGGTGTTCTCGATACACCGAGATAAAATCGACGTGTCCATCTCACCCAAGAATTCTATCCAATAAAAAGCATCGTAACATTTCAGTGGCACATTAGAATTAATAAATGGTTAAACGATTAAACATTTCAATCATCATGCCCTAACTTGATTATTAAGCTTACTAAAAAAATTGCTCGGAAACTTCGACCACCTCCCAAAGACTATCAACCCTCGGTTGACGGACCAATTTCACGCCGATACGATCAACGACATTCATGACCATTCTCGGCTTTGTTATCGTAGAATTATTATTTTGTGTCATTTAATCAGTCAGCTGTTGTAATCTCTTCGAAAAGTGTGCAAGTTACTGCAAGTATACTGCACATGTGCCGATCATTAGACTGCGGATTTTTCTGCAAAATGATAATTTACCAAATCTGATGAAAATATATCTTTCATATTATAAATGTATTCTGTGTGAAATTTTTCTTATGTCTTTACAATTCAAATCATTTTTGCCAAAACTGCAGAAAATCCGCAGCCACCCGATGATACACCGATTTTCTTCATATTTTGTTAAAATGCGACGCTCGTCGCGAATAAATGACAACGTTTCGTATTACGACGAGTATACTCGTCAGAAACAGCTAACCGGTTGATTGCAAAAAAATTGAGTAATTGGACGACGACTTAACCGCAGTCCGAGGATTAAGTTAGCCACCCCCAACGCGAGCGAAATCATCGACGCCGCGCATTTTTTCTACGTTACCCTTGTTCTAAAACATTTCAGCTTCAACGTAAAAAAACCCGCATCGCTTTATCTCATTCCAATAAAAAAAAAAATCCACGATTTCGGCGCGACTGTTTCATTTCGTCCGATTGCGCGCCGCTCGTATATCGGTGCGATTCGGGAACCATCGAAAACCGTGTCCGCTAGTCGGAATTCCTGGGATCTATGGTCCCCCGATTGAGTCCGCGCTGTCCCCTCGGGGCCCTTCGGGACTGTTGCGAGGTTCGTCCCCCGGATCTGCCGTTAGGTTCGAGAAAGACAGGCGGGCGGACGCTTGTTACGTTTGCACGGGGCCCAGGCATCGATAAAGGTTCGTTCGACTTGTCTGATTGCAGATACTGGCGCGCCGTACGTATTGTACAAGGACAACATGGAGAGACCCCAGGGGCAATGGGGCCCGGGGCCGGGATCTCTCCAGGACGGTGGACTGTACCCGCAGCAACAGCAACAACAGCAACAGCAGGGCTCCTCCTCGTCCGGCAGTCCACAGCAGGCCTGTGGTCCCCCAGTCGAGGGAGAAAGCGGTCCCCCGCCTTCGTTGGCCTCTCCCGTGCCCTCGCCGTACCCCTCGGCACCGCCCGAGCCTCAAGCCTTAACCCCGCCCGACGACGACATCCAATCGAGCCAGGCTACCTCTCAGCAACAGCAGCAGCAACAGCAACAGCAACAACAGCAACAACAGCAAACGCAACAACAGGTCCAACAGCAACAGCAGCAGCAGCAAGTCCAGCAGCAGCAACAGCAGCAGCAACAGCAGCAGCAGCAACAACAGCAAACGCAACAGCAGGATCACTCGCCGCAACAGCAACTGACGCCGCACGAGGTCGACCGCAGCGACTGTTTCCCCGGGGCCGGGGAGCTCCAGCAGTACCCCCAGCACTACTTCAAGGAGGCCAGGCCGCATCCGTCGCCGTCGGTGCCGCCGCACATGCTCACACCCGGCGGTTTCTCCGCGTTGCACTACCTGAAGCAGCCGGGCGTGATGCTGACGTCCCTCGGGCAGGGCGACGGCGGGCCCGGCCTCGACGGCCACCAGTACGCCAGCCCCGGGGCCCCGAACATGGCAACCGGGCTGCCGGACATCGTCCAGCAGAGCGGCAAGTCCGGCAAGGGGGCGAACAGCGACCTGCGACTGTTCAAGTGTCTGACGTGCGGCAAAGACTTTAAGCAGAAGTCGACGCTGCTGCAGCACGAGAGGATCCATACGGACAGTCGGCCATACGGGTGCCCGGAGTGCGGGAAGCGGTTCCGGCAACAATCGCACCTAACGCAGCATCTGCGCATACACGCGAACGAGAAGCCGTATGCGTGCGTGTACTGCGAGCGTACGTTCCGGCAGCGTGCGATCCTCAACCAGCATCTGCGCATCCACTCGGGTGAGAAGCCATACCAATGTCCGGAGTGCGGAAAACACTTCCGTCAGAAGGCGATCCTGAATCAGCACGTCCGCACACACCAAGGCGAGCATTTCTCTCTGCCTCCCAGACTCCCAGAGGGCGTCCACCACAACCACACTGACCCCCATTTCACCGGGTTTTCTGTTCTTGTTCGTTCTTCGTTGCCCGTTGTTCGTTCTCCGTTGTTCGTTGTTGTTGTTGTTGTTGTTATTGTTATTATTATTATTATTATTATTATTATTATTATTACTATTATTACTATTATTATTATTCTAGTTGATTTTGTTGCTTTTCAATTACATCGTCTTTACTATGTTCACCCGCAAATACTACGCCACCACCACCGACCACCATCGTCATCTGTTCATCATCGTTCGTCATTCGATCGTCGCGGCGTCGCGTCGCTTCGTCGCCGATTAACGTCTCGTCACCTATCGTGCTATCGTTCTCTGTCTATCTCGGCGCCTCCTATTCGTACGATGCTACTTCGGAAGAATATTCTCTCCCTACAAATATCATTCTCTCTTCGGATAGAATTGAATTTATCGCCGACGCAGACCTTCGCGTGCGACCCTCTATCGAAATGAAATCATAGAAAACTCGAAACTCGAACTACTTACATTGAATCTACGCCGAGAACGGGATCACGGTGATCTAGAATTTCGAATAAAATCGCTTCTGCAATAAACTTTTCCACGAAGTAGCAACGCACGCATAGAATCCGTCGGCCTGTTCTTTACCACTTCTCTCCGAGCAGACTTTCGATACTAACAGTCATCCCTCTTTTCAATTTCTATTCTCTCTCTCTCTCTCTCTCTCTCTCTCTCTCTCTCTCTGTCGTTCTCTCTATACAAGATCCATTTTAGTTTCCGCTTTGTCCCAGCCTCGATCCGCAACACGCAGACGACAACATGCTCGTCTGTCTTCGCTCGTTCATGCAGTTCATAGATCGATAAAGGAAAAATGATAAAGATCAAATCCGTCAAGGCCAACCGAAGTATCGGGTTGAGCTGGACGCGAGATCGCTGGTGAGCTGTGAGATAGAGGAGCTCTCCCTCCGTGCCTTTCTCTTTCTCTCTCTTTCTCTCTCTCTATCTATCTCTCACGGTCCGTCTCGTTCAACCCCTATCCGCATCCTCTTCTCCACTCTCTGCCCTCGGTCCAACAAGCCCGCTCTTCGTTGCATACGGAACTCATCACGATATTAATATACAATCTCTATTCTGGTTGCTGCTGCTGCTGCTGCTAACGTCACCTAACTCCTCCGTAGTCTTCCCATTAAACGTGTCCTTTCGTGAAGGTGGAGGAGGTGGATCTCTCGGATGATGAACCAGGCCGCGTGTAAAAACCTCGTTAGCGATCGCGATTCGCACCCTCGCGGTCTCTCTCGCTTGATTAACATCCCGGTTCCGACCGGCAAACGGAGCCGGCTTTCTTCGGACGCTGACTGACAGACCCGGCCCGCGCTGGTCTCATTCGGCGATCTCTTCGAGGTGCTCTTCAAAATGCTCTTCGAGGTGCTCTTTCGGGCGCTCTGAAAAGTCTTCGGTTACATCTTTCAGGTGTTTCCGCTTCCGATTGCTTTGGTTCTCGGATATGTTATAGAGGACCAGAAAAATAAGAGACACGCGTTGGCCCATATTGGCCCGTTTTCGTGTTTACGGGGTGAAACTACCCCACGACGTTCGTAACATGAAGCACGGAAGAGATAGCTTAAAGTTAGCTCAAAGATATTATCGAATTAAACTGTCTGAGCGTTCCGGTGATCAATTCGGGTAACCGAGATTTGCTTCAATATCTGTCCAGTGTCACGTTTGATTTGGTTTCAATATTTTCTATCGGAGGAGGTATTAACCCATTTGCATCCGCGAGCAGAATAATCCGCGCGCGATGATCTTCGACCGTCGACGATTAGTTAACTATTTTCAAGATTAACTGTCAGTAGAGGGCAGATCTTTATGCAAACTAGAAATTGTCTACTTCGATTGCGATAGACAGAAATCGAATAAAAACGTATTTTCTCTGTTAATCAATTTAGCAAATTAGAAATATAAGGTAAACGGTGTTTGAAAATTATTCAATCGTTTTCATCGTACCATATTTCGCCGAGTAACTTTCCCCAAAAATACATCAAATCGATCGCTTAGTTATCAGATTATTAATATTTATATATTTAACAAAATCACGCTTAAGCGCAGATCATGCGGATTATTTCGGAGTCCACGATAGTTGACAATCGTCAGGATTATTCCGTTTACCGATGCAAATGGTCCAACGCGAAAGAGCCCTCAGCGCAAAGCGATCAGATCGAAACGTCAGCGTTCCCCACCGACGAAGGTCGAAGTCGAAAGTTCGAGAAGCACCTCGACGATTCCAAGAACGGCCTTCCGAGTTGGAACCGAGTGTCCAAGTCAGCGTCCCCGCGGTTCATAGATAGAGTCTCGCGACCGCGCAGCCTCCGGCCGACTAACAGAATCAGAGTCTCCTCCTGAGAGCCCGGTGGCGGCGTTCAGCCGATGATGAACCGTGTTTGGTGTGTCTGTTTCAGACGTGAGCCCGCATCTGATCTTCAAGAACGGTATGACGCCGACACTGTGGCCGCAGGACGTGCCGTTCCCGCCGGAAGAGGGCAAGGAGGAGGTGGCGTCGACGTTCGGCGACACGGACACGCAGTCGGGCGCGTTCAGCCCGGCGCCGGACGCGAACTCGATCCAGTACCCGGCGTACTTCAAGGACCCGAAGGGCGGTAACCACGCGGTGTTCGGCGCGAGCGGCACGGGCAGCTTCGGGGCCCTGCAGTACATCAAGCAGCAGGGCGGTAGCAAGAGCTGTTTGCCGGACGTGATACAGCACGGCCGCTCCGCGGGGATGCCGCTGTACGTCCGCTGCCCGATCTGCCAGAAGGAGTTCAAACAGAAGTCGACGCTGCTGCAGCACGGCTGCATACACATCGAGTCGAGGCCGTACCCGTGCCCGGAGTGCGGCAAAAGGTTCAGGCAGCAGTCCCACCTGACCCAGCACCTACGCATCCACACGAACGAGAAGCCGTACGGCTGCGTCTACTGCGGCCGGAACTTCCGGCAGCGCACGATCCTGAACCAGCATCTGCGCATCCACACCGGCGAGAAGCCGTACAAATGCCAGCAGTGCGGCAAGGACTTCCGTCAGAAGGCGATCCTGGACCAGCACACGCGCACCCACCAGGGCGACCGGCCGTTCTGCTGCCCGATGCCGAACTGCAGGCGGCGGTTCGCCACCGAGCCCGAGGTCAAGAAGCACATCGACAACCACATGAACCCGCACGCGGCCAAGGTGCGCCGGAACTCGAGCAGCGACACCAAGCCGCCGGGTACGCCGGCGGGCCTCGGGCCCGTCCCGGTACCCAGGGGCCTCACCCCCACCGTCGTCAAGCCGGAGCTCTACTTCCCGCAGTGCTACGCGCCGGCGTTCAACCACCAGCCGCCGGTCTCGACGGCCCAGTTCCCCGGACAGGCGAACGGCGTGTCCGTCGCCGGCGAGTTCAAGCCACCGACAGGTCTGCCGCCCCAGTGACTAACCGTCCATCCTGCCGCCTACTAGCAAGCAGGAATTCCGCTGAGGTTTCAGCGATGCTTCGGTCACGCGCTGCAGGCCGACGCCGGCGCCGCCTCCACCGTCGCCGCCGCCGCCGCCGCCGCCCACCGATGCACCACCACCAGCCAGCAGCCGATCCAGCAACACTACCCGTGACATTTATCGTGCATTTACTAGGCTCTTTCTTTTCGTTTCCGCGGTGAGCTTGCCATCCAACGCGCCAGCTAGTCCCGGGCTCGACGGCCGAACGCGCGTTCTCCTCTTGGCGCAACCCTTTTACTTTTCCGTTTTTTCTCGTTCGACGATCTTCGTGTCCTCGGATTCGGATCTGTGCAATAATCCTATCGGAAGAACGGGGCTCTCGGCACCGATCCCGCGCGCCGACTCGCCCCTGTCGGTCGCCCTTTCCACCCGCGCAATCCACCGACGGCTCGCTGGATCAGCCCCCGATAGAGACGCCGCACGATGTTTTATCTCGATGTTGTTACCTGATGATTGATACTCTACCGTGTTACGAAACCAGTTGATACGTTACCGCGACACGGACGACGATGCCCGACACGGGCGCTCGGTCTCTCGGCTCGGTTGCTCTAGATAGACGACGATGTGTAGGACCAGTGGTTGAGAGGATGTTCGGTAAGTGATACCCTTTGATTTTTATGTAACTCTGCCGAGATTCGTTTGGACACCTTTTCGTTTCGTAGCTTCGGCGGGACTTGCTTTTCCTCGCCGATCGCTTACGTTAGATGCTTTTCAGTTTCACGTTTTACGGTTCAAGGGGGAACGCGGCATCTTCGACGATCTTCGAACGATCTCGGAAGATCCGCGATCCAGTTTCTGTACGTTGTCTTAAAACAACCGTATTCGTTCGATCGGAATTGAAATAATCTAACCGGGCTTTTCATTTTTATCCAACATAGCGGGATGAGAGATGCTTTCTCTTATATGCAAGAAATCCAAATTACCCGAAGAACAGGCTAAGCATTCGTCTCGATGAAGCTCGATGCACAAGCTATTGGGTCGGGACTTAAATAACTGTTTTTTTATCAGACATTTATCTTGTTTTCTCTTTCTCGTTTGTCCCGGTGATTCGTAGCGAGTAGACACGAACGATAGATTCTACCTAGCTGCGTTGGATGTTACTTACGACTCGACCTGATAAATAATTGTCTAAACAGCGGAACAAGAAATCTCGTCGAGAAAAGAAAAGATAATATGAGCCGTTTATTTTGAAAGTGGCACAAGTCACTTTGTTTTTAAGTCGATATATTTAAGGGTTTGCGTTTTAACACGTTCAAAAATATGGATGCCAACTTTCGAGAAGATTTACTTCTATTCGTTATCTCAGGATACTGATATGTTTCTCAGTATAAATAATTTCGTATAAACGTTAAAAAAATCACCACTTTTCATCACGGTAAAGTGACTCTCAAAATAAACGGCTCATATGGCAACGTAGAAGAAGCGATTTCCCCTTGAAACCGCAAAACCCCAAGCACAGGTACTTTGTAGACCGTTTCCCCAAGCGATTCGAAACCGTTACATAAAGATCGCTTAAAGAACATCCCCCAGGAGAAAGGTAGACCGTGTAGCCTGCAGGTTTGGGCGAGGGAGCTAGTAACGAGAACAGTGCCGCGATGACCGAAAGATCGAGCGACCGAGATCGGTTCTCGTCCGAGCAGGCTCCCTAGGACCGCAATAGAGAAAACGATTAACGAGCATGATCCAGCGGGGCGCGCGTGGTTGCGCGAGAAGACGGGCGAGGAGCGACGCGAGGATCCCAGGGGTGTGTCGGACCTTGACCATGGCCGACGCGGTTCGCCGTCGAGCTGTGGACCGGCGCCGGACAGGTGCGTATCAACCAACGAAGAGTCTCGTCTATTCTCCCATACACGTATTTTTTATATATATAAACAATAGATTACACAACAAAGGTACGGCGCGCGTACCTTCTCGCGTTTATTTCCGTGGAACAAGCGAGTAGCTCGAAAGTGAGATGGAGAGGGAGTGGGAGAGAGAGAGGGTGCGAGAGAGAATGAGAGAGCGAGAGTAAACGAGCAAGAGAGTGAGAGAGAAAGAGTAAGAGAGAGAGAGAGAGAGAGTTTTGGTGGTTCCGGGCAGGCAGGCCGTCCGAGGGTGTCGATGAACGTTGCGCGCACCGGTTCGAGAGGGTTCAAGAGGTTCGGGAGGATGGAGAGAGGGGGAGGGGGAGGGACACGAAGAAGAGTTAACAAACGATTGTGATACGATATTTAACTTGCCTATGTTTAAAGAAAGAGGAGGACGTGAGAAAGAAGACGAAGAGGAAGACGACGGAGATGGGAGAAAGATACGTTGCCTCGAGATGGGAGGTGAACACACGACCACGAGAAGAATGCCTGTAAATATGTAAAGCCGTTCGCTCCGGCGGACAAACAAACAAACAAATGAAACAAAAATCTGAGACGCCGTGAAAAAGAACGGCCGAAGAGCGAACGAAAGAGAGAGAGAGAGAGAGAGAGAGAGAGAGAGAGAGAGAGAGAGAGAGAGAGAGAGAGAGAGAGAGAGAGAGAGAGAGAGAGAGAGAGAGAGAGAGAGAGAGAGAGAGAGAGAGAGAGAGAGAGAGAGAGAGAGAGAGAGAGAGAGAGAGAGAGAGAGAGAGAGAGAGAGAGAGAGAGAGAGAGAGAGAGAGAGAGAGAGAGAGAGAGAGAGAGAGAGAGAGAGAGAGAGAGAGAGAGAGAGAGAGAGAGAGAGAATGTATGTGTGGGAGCGTGAATCGGAGAGTGTGTGCGATGCGTGCGTGAACGCGTGTGAAAGGTAGAAGCGAGTGCGCGCGCGTGCACAGGGTTCGAAGGATGAAGAGAGAGGACACGCGAGTGGGCAGGATCGCTGAAGGATACAAGAAAGAGAGAGAGAGAGAGAGAGAGAGAGAGAAAAGAAGAAGAAGAAAAAGAAAAAGAAGAAGCAGGAGGAGGACGCCGAGGGAAAAAAAGGGAGTGGGACGGTTCGGGGGTAGAAAAACGAAAGGGAGAAAAGGAGAGGCGGGAGAGGAAGAAGGAGAGAAGAGATTAGGTAGGGATTTACGAGGACGAGCCGAGCGCGCCGGCTGAGGGCCGTGTGCTGAGCCATAGCTTTCTGTACGACAAGTCGACGACGCCGACGACGCCGATATCTAAGGGAGGGAGGGGAGGATTTCTGCGCGCCGCGCCGGGACGTTACGACTCTTGTATACTATAGTAATATTTGAATGTATATTTATACGACAGGTTATATATATATTATTCTATTAACTATAATGATGATATTTTGAATCGGTTTTAAAATCAGATTGGTGCTGATACGTAAATGATCTATATAAGGTAAGCGCGCGAGACACAAAAGAAAACACGGGGAGAACGTGGGAGGAGGGTAACGTGGAAGAAGGCTGAGACACCGTAGAGTAATAGCAGTAAAACACGTAGGGTTATAGTCGATAGATAGTAGCTCAATGGAACTGAGGACGAGAGAACGAACGCGGACGGAACGCGCGCTTAGGGAGGGTGGGAGGGGCGCGCGTGGCCGGAGGGACCGACGAATGGAGGAGAGCTGTGGGAGGAGAAGAAGACTTTTAACGGAGGACCCTCGTTTCGGAGTCCGCTGATTCTTGAATAATAACGAGTAATAATTACAATGAACATTATCATCGCAGCTGAAGGTTTACGAACGTGAGAAGAAAAAAAAAGAGAGAGAGAGAGAGTTTGAAGGAGGATCAGGAGGAGGACGATAAGGAGGATATATATATTTCGTGGCAATACTTAAACGAGACGAGCGCGAGGAGAAGGAGGAAAATGATGCGAGGAAAATTTCAACGTACTAGAGAATAGTCTTTTAAATTTCTATATTAAGACGTGTGATCTCTCTAATTATTGTACATTATATATATATAATATATATATACATATATATATATTATATATTATATATATTGATGAATCTATACCTATAGACCAGATGCATGAATATATGTATACGTATATACGTGCATATACTATATATATATATTATGCATATTAACAATTATTATATATATATATATATATATATGTATACATATTGATAATTACGATTATACGTATATTAGGCGTTCTACAGTTAGTCTTTTAATGTATAATTAGAAAACACACAGAGATGATCTGAAGATGAAATAATTGTGCGGCCATATTCTCTGTGGCCTGTTCGTAGTGCCTCGGAATTGCTGCTCGCGGCAGTGATTTGACCGTATTTTAGGAAGGTATATTAATTAATAATTATATTCAGGACTGCAATTATCGATACTCTGATACAGTACGAAAGGAGACGATGGGAGACGGAGAGAGAAAAGGAGAAAGAGAGAGAGAGAGAAGATGAGCGAGGAAGAGGGGCGACTAGGGGAACGAGAGAAAACGAAAACGACGAAACCGAAGGGAGCAGGGGGGTGTCAGGACGAAGATCGAGAAAAGGTAGGGGGAGGGGGATCGGGTGATCGTGTCGTCAGGCGACACGTTAATCGACTCACTATTTAATTAATCAGAGATTTTACTTATATCGCGTTCGCGGGACCGCGCGCGAACGAAAAAAAAATCAATATAAGGGAGAAAAGAGGGTGGGGAAAAGGTGGAAGACGTGCAGGTGCGCCGGAAACCGCGAGAACGGCCCGACGACGGCGATGTGATCGTCGTGACGAGTTACTCGTTCGTCGATGCTTTAGATTTTTTTTTCACTTTTGTTCCTTTTCTTCTTTCTTTTGCCGCTCGGCGGACGCGAAAGTCAACGTTTCTCTAGTTCTACGTTATTACCTCCGTAGCATCGCGTTTCTATCCCCACTAATCGATCGCGACAAAGGGGAAATAACTTTTCAACTGCAGCGTTCCGGATGGTCTCGCTAGTCGAAGATCATCAACGATATCCATATCGCTGTTGTTCGGACGACTTCTAATCGAATTCTGCCATGGACGACAATCGTCGAACGACGACGTCACGTTGTTCTCGTCTTTGCAAAATAGTTACCACGCTGCAGATCTTTACGGTAAAAAGAAAGAATTGTTCCACATTCGGCTTCAAGAAATAGGAATTACAGAAAAATTGATTTCTCGCCTCGTTAACACATCATGTGTGGGATACCTCTTTAAAAAATTTAATATTTTCTATTTTCGTTATATATTTGTTACAAAAATCTTATTGCCAGTTTTGCAAAAAGTGGATTTTTTCCAAATCCACCGATGTTCCCCCGTTAGACGCGAGTAAAGCTCGATTCGTGACCCGCGGATAAATTTTACGAAATAATTTGTACAACGTAATCTCAAGTTCTTCCGACGTCGTTACCGTTTGGTCACTTCAACTATCCACATTTGTCGCGAATGCGTAAGATCTGCAGTCTACTGATCGCAATAAAAACGGCGGGAAGTCTAAGCAGATTCTGTTCGCGGCACTCTTTTAATGCGCGACAGGATCAGCAGTGTTACTATCCAACGATTAGCTTCAACTCCGCGCCGTATAATCTCGCGTGCATTTCCACGTCGGCCGCGATCCGGCAAACAATAATGAAACCGTTCGCCGTGGAAACAACGGATCGAGCCCCATTAGTCGACCGATAATCGCGACGCGTACCACACAGAGACAATCATTCGCCGAAAAAAAAACGTCCCCGCGAAGCTCGTCTACCGAATTACGCTTGTGAATCGCGGCAGCAGTATACGAATCCCCGAAGAGTTTCCGCGGGGTCCTGGTCTCGAAACGATCCAGTTCCCTGTTACGCGCATACCTGTATCACATCGGCCCGGACCCGTGCAGGTACGCGAGGAATGTTTTAATCTCGTAACGGCGCGAAACAAAGGTCCTCTTTCTTTGATCCGGGCGTGTCTTTCCGCGCGATTCATTGTTCGGCCGCGGACCGGCCCGCATAGTATTGCCGAGCATAATAGGATTCCGGTCGAATTCGTGGATCGGCGGCGAAAAATTATGCGGAAGTTGCGCGCGCGACGACGGCTACGACGGCAAGGAAAAATCCGGGATTTCACGGCTCGGAATCCTCCGAGCCCCGGAGCTCGGCGATCGCAAGGATAACGGGCCTCGCGACCGGATTCGCCCGGCGAATCGTCTGCGAATTGATAAAGCCGGTGTCCCAGCGCGGAACGTCCTCTCGCGAATGTCCTTTCAGCCGCGGAAAAGGCGAGCGTGATTCAATTCGAAACTGAAACGCTGTTTAACGCTCCGACCGCCCCGGGCGACGCAATTATATTCCCCGGACGCCAAAGTTAATTTTTCCAATGACGTA